ATCACGAACTGCATACACTGTATCTGAAACACCTTCTACATGTGTATTGGTGTCCTACACGACACATCCTGTATTTCATATCATGCAGTGGTGTTCTCTATACTGTATCTGATACTGTACAGTAGTATTCTGTTCATAACATGCTGTCTCTACCACGGCACCGTATATTGGTGTCCATTAATTGACACATTGCAATAGGGACTTTTAAACAAGAGGCCCATGGGCCACATCGCTCACCTGAGCACTGTGGCTAGGAAAAAGTAGAAATTGGTTTATTATTGAAAAGTTTAAATCTTAAAGTAGTCCCATGACCAATCATGGCTTTTCTATTTTTAAGATTTTTAAAAAATTTTCCTATATATTTCTATATAAAACTTTGGTTGGCTATTTTGGCCCCGCTCTACCCCCGGGGGTCATAAATTGAACAAATTTGAATCTACACTACCTGAGAATGCTTCCATATAAATATGATCAATTATAGCTTTGATTTTCTTGAGATGAAGATTTTTAAAGAATTTTCCTATATAGTTCTATGTAAACCTTTGGTTGGCCATTTTGGCCCCGCCCTACCCCCGGGGGTCATAAATTGAACAAACTTGAATCTACACTACCTGAGAATGCTTCCATATAAATATGATCAATTATAGCTTTGATTTTCTTGAGATGAAGATTTTTAAAGAATTTTCCTATGTAGTTCTATGTAAACCTTTGGTTGGCCATTTTGGCCCCGCCCTACCCCTAGGGGTCATAATTTGAACAAATTTGAATCTACACTACCTGAGAATGCTTCCATATAAATATGATCAATTATAGCTTTGATTTTCTTGAGATGAAGATTTTTAAAGAATTTTCTTATATAGTTCTATGTAAAACTTTGGTTGGCCGTTTTGCCCCACCCCCACCCCGGGGCATGATTTCAACAAACTTGAATCTACACTATCTGAGGATGAAAATAAATATGATCAATTTTAGCTTTTCTATTTTGGAGAAGAAGATTTTTTGAAGAATTTTCCTATATATTTCTATGTAAAACTTTAGTCGTCCATTGTGGCCAAGCCCTACCCCCGGGGGTCATGATTTGAACAAATATGAATTTACACAACCTGAGGATGCTTCCAAATAAATATGATCAATCATGGCTTTACTGTTCTTGAGAAGAAGATATTTAAAGAATATTCCTATATATTTCTATGTAAAACTTTGATTGGCCATTGTGGCCCCGCCCTACCCCCGGGGGTCATGATTTGAACAAATTTGAATCTACACTACCTGAGGATACTTCCATATAAATATGATCAATTATGACCTATTCTTGAGAAGAAGATTTTTGAAGAATTTTCCTATATATTTCTATGTAAAACTTTGATCGGCCATTGTGGCCCCTCCCTACCCCCGGGTGTCATTTGAACAAACTTGAATCTACACTACCTGAGGATGCTTCCATATAAGTTTCATCTTTCCTGGCACAGTGGTTCTTGAGAAGAAGATTTTCAAAGACTTTTCCTATATATTTCTATATAAAACTTTGGTTGGCCATTTTCGCCCGCCCTACCCCCGGGGGTCATGATTTGAACAAACTTGAATCTACACTACCTGAGGATGCTTCCATATAAGTTTCATCTTTCCTGGCACAGTGGATCTTGAGAAGAAGATTTTTAAAGAATTTTCCTATATATTTCTATGTAAAACTTTGGTTGGCCATTTTCGCCCGCCCTACCCCCGGGGGTCATGATTTGAACAAACTTGAATCTACACTACCTGAGGATGCTTCCATATAAGTTTCATCTTTCCTGGCACAGTGGTTCTTGAGAAGATTTTTAAAGAATTTTCCTATATATTTCTATGTAAAACTTTGGTCGGCCATTGTGGCACGGCCCTACCCCCGGGGGTCATGATTTGAACAAACTTGAATCTACACTACCTGAGGATGCTTCCATATAAGTTTCATCTTTCCTGGCACAGTGGTTCTTGAGAAGAAGATTTTTAAAACATACCACCAAATTTTTATTAATTCCCAATTATCTCCCCTTGAATGAGGGCGTGGCCCTTCATTTGAACAATCTTGAATCCCCTTCACCCAAGGATGCTTTGTGGCAAGTTTGGTTGAAATTGGCCCAGCCGTTCTTGAGAAGAAATCGAAAATGTGAAAAGTTTACAGACAGACAGACGGACTACAGACAAAATGTGATCAGAAAAGCTCACTTGAGCCTTTGGCTCAGGTGAGCTAATAACCTTCTCTGTCTGATACCAGATGTGTTCTAAATTATCACGTGATGTCATGTATATCAGAAATAGCCATAATTCTTAAAATCCTTATTCTATAATATTTTTCAGACATGAATTATCTTAATCAAGTGAGGGGTCGACCTCCTTTGGAGAAGATCCGACGTAAAGATCTTTATCACCTAACGCACAAATGGTAGTGAAAGAAATTCAGCAAACCATAAACATTTAGAAAATCTGTCATGGATTATATTGCTTTTTTGATAAAAATGGATGTCTGAAATTTACTTACTGTTGTTATTAGTCATTTTCAAAATTATTTTGTCAAAAAAAACAACCATTCTGTTGTTCACACAAGTTCTCTGAAGATGATAATAAAATGAAACTTGAATTTCTGTTGTTGGATCATATTTTTTGTTGACAGATTATCATTTATTCACCAGTTTTTCTGTTTTACTCCTTTGCAGAAATATTTTTATTTCAATCATGATGGCTTTACGTTTCAATTGTTTTCATTCCAATACTTATGCAGCAACATATCCTTATCACCTGCATACGGAGTTTATATCCTTCAATTGATTCAATACGTAAGAGCATGCTCTACGCATGAATAATTTCTAAAACCGGTTAAGCTATTGAAAGCATGTTGTTCAAACAAGAATATCAGCAATCTCGTTTAAAGTCATCATTTCGAAAGTGTTATTTTCGATACCATGACCAGCAAATACAATATACTAGTATCATTAAGTCAAATGCTGACTGATGTTTTTCATACTAACTTACTAGGCCATTATGTCACACTGAATGGTCAACAGATTTTCCCATCATTTCCAGATCATGACAAGGAGCACACGGCGGGTGTGATCGTTTGACAAAGAATGCTCACTCCTCCATGGCACCTAATCCAAACTTTCATGTTTTGGAGGTCCGTGTTTGCTCCTCTCTGTATTTGTATTGTTAAAATGGACCTTCGAACTTGAATACTGTTCATTCAAGTATTGTACTGAGTAGAGATAAAAGGTAAGATATTTTCCGTCTTGAGAATTAAGACCAAATGTTTCTCTTATGATGTTGATCTTTCAGTTTAAGAATGTGGGAGAAGTTTGGATGAAAGAGATTTGACTTGATGTGTAACTGAGATTTTAACATTTAGAGAAAAGTTACAGTAAGTTAAAAGTAATGAATTGAATTCACATTTAAAGACGAACCAACACGCAGTCTTCGTACGCCAATAACAAAGCATAAACCAGGTCCACACAGTCATGCAAACTTTAAATTCTGACAAAAAGAGCATATGAACTTAACAATACTAGTAAATCTCCCACTTCGTATAATGACTGCTTTAATTTGAAAACTAATTCAGATGTGAACTCTAGATCTTTACTGAAAAAGCATGATATGCTACAGCACCTCCATACCAAGTAGTGCTGTTTTTTCTTGGTTCCATACATCACTTTAAACAAAGAATTATAATGGTTTTAAAATTTAAATATAACAAGAGGCCCAGGGGCCACAGCGCTCACCTGAGCACATCGGGCTTGAATTTACCCCCCCCCTTCCAGGCATTCATCATTTGAACAAACTAGAATCTACACTACCTGAGGATGATTCCATATAAATATCACTAATCATAGCTTTGAAGTACTTGAAAAGATTTTAAAAGGTTTCCCTATATATCCCTATGTAAAACTTGGGTCGGCCATTTTGGCCCCAACCTAGCCCCGGGGGTCATGATTTGAACAAACTTGAATCTACACTACCTGAGGATGATTCCACATGAGTTTCATCTTTCCTGGCCCAGTGGTTCAGGAGAAGAAGATTTTTAAAGATTTTTCCTATATATTCCTATGTAAAACTTGGGTCGGCCATTTTGGCCCCACCCTACCCCCGGGGGTCATGATTTGAACAAACTTGAATCTACACTACCTGAGGATGCTTCCACATGAGTTTCATCTTTCCTGGCCCAGTGGTTCTGGAGAAGAAGATTTTTAAAGATTTTTCCTATATATTCCTATGTAAAACTAGGGTCGGCCATTTTGGCTCCACCCTAGCCCCGGGGGTCATGATTTGAACAAACTTGAATCTACACTACCTGAGGATGCTTTCACATGAGTTTCATCTTTTCTGGCCCAGTGGTTCTGGAGAAGAAGATTTTTAAAGATTTTTCCTATATATTCCTATGTAAAACTTGGGTCGGCCATTTTGGCTCCACCTTTGCCCCGGGGGTCATGATTTGAACAAACTTGAATCTACACTACCTGAGGATGATTCCACATGAGTTTCATCTTTTCCTGGCCCAGTGGTTCTGGAGAAGAAGATTTTTAAAGATTTTTCCTATATATTCCTATGTAAAACTTGGATCGGCCATTTTGGCCCCACCCTTGCCCTGGGGGTCATGATTTGAACAAACTTGAATCTACACTACCTGAGGATGATTCCACATGAGTTTCATCTTTCCTGGCCTAGCGGTTCTGGAGAAGAAGATTTTTTAAAATTGCCATAAATTTTTAACAAATTCATGATTATCTCCCCTTGGAAAAGGGCGTGGCCCTTCATTTGAACAAACTTAAATCCCCTTCACCCAAGGATACTTTGTACTAAGTTTGGTTGAAATTGGCCCAGTGGTTCTTGAGAAGAAGATGAAAATGTGAAAAGTTTACGACGACAACAACGACAACGACAACGACAACAACGACAACGACAACAACGACGACAGACAACGGACAAATTTTGATCAGAAAAGCTCACTTGAGCCTTCGGCTCAGGTGAGCTAAAAACTAAAGTTTAATATTTTAATTTTAGGACATCTTAACAAGCACCATAAATATTGACTACATATAAACAACTTCTCTGCAGTTACTGAGGATACATCATCTACATTTTGAAGATACGTAGGTATACACAACTCTTCAACTTCATATCTGCCGGGCATTGTCTTTTAGGAATCCCTTGTAACTACGAGTTATCTGCTCTTTGAAATTACAGCAAGTGCTGTTGTATACAATCGTTATACCATTTTTATGGTTGACACTTTTTTTCCACTACCAGTTGTATGTTAGATGATACAGATCTTTACGACGAATGTTTTCCGTTGGAAGTTGACTTCTCACTTTGTTAAGATAATTCATATCTGAAAACAAGTTAAAAAGAAAATAAAAAGTTAATAAAGATATTTACGACTTGTAACTAATTTTAATTTTCCTATTCATTGAATAATAGAACGGGGAAGAGTTTCGAATTTTGACTTTTACTAGGCACTCAGAACAAATGAGCAGTGAGTTTTGTTTATCGTGCCTGGAGTGATACGGGGCTTGGGATTTAAGGTCTCAACCTGCAACTTCCACTTCAAAGTGCCGGCTTTTTCAGATTGAAACATTATGTCGAGGCGTTAGAACAATAAAAATCACTCATTTCTCAGTGCATGGTTCTGAGTGCTGAGTAAAGGACAAAATTGGAAGCCCTTTACAGGTATATGGTGATACATGTATGAGTGAAAAATTCTCGAATGGGGCACAAAATACAATACACAAACAATCAATCATATTCGTGGCTTAATGAAAGCTGACGTAAAAAAAATCACCTAGATCAGCATATATTAAAGCCTCTTCACCCTCTGCCTGGCTTATTATCTTCCCCCTGTTAAATAAAATAAATGTGGAGAATAACAAAATTCACACACCAGCGAGAAAACAAATTTCTTAGTCCTTTACTCTAACTGTATATTTGAAAATGCAGTCTTTACATATTCAAAGCATTTTAACAAGCATTAGGATTATTTATTGGGTATTACCGTAATTTGGTTTTCATAACAAAAAGGAATGAAGATTGTTGTCAAACAGAACATTGAATGGTTAGTCACGGAGATCAAACTTGACATCTAAGTGAGTGGATCAAAGAACGTTTTACTAAATCAATCGCTATAAGTTTTTACTTGAAGCCACTACCGGAAAGTACTCCAAGAAGAGAACACTTTTTAGAGATAACACTTTTTGTTTGGTTCATTACCATGGATCCACCACGGCACTGTGACCCCACGCCTCGTAATGGTGTGATTTATCTGCCGCGGGGGAACACGCTGCTATGTAAACCTGGTTGTCGATTGCACGTGCCCTCAACAGGACGTCCCAATGCGCAGGTCCGGTTCTCTCTGCGCTAAAAGCTCCAAGGTACACGTGCAATTTACAGTCTTAAAAAAAGAAATTTTAGCATCATTTACCCATGTATGAACATGCAAACACCAGACATCGCTAAAACAGGGAGTAAAACTTACCCTGTTCTGTGTAATATCGTGATACTTCAGGAAATCGAACGTCGATACAGATTCCTACTCCAACTTTACATATATCTGAAAAAGAAAAACAGAAAATCGTTTTCTGGTTTTATTGATGCACATTTGGTTTGAGAAATTCGATGCACTGCGCTGACCAGTCGGCAGGGGATGCTCACTCCTCCATGGCACCTGATCCCATCTCTTATGTTTTGGAAGTGCGTGTTGGCGCCACTGTTTGTTATCTCCACACAGATTTCACTGGTATGAACAATCTCTATTCTCGTTGGGTCTCTAAAGCATTATCATCCTTCTTCAATGCTGTCTTTTGCATTCATGTAAGGTTTATCACATTGGCAATTTGAATTTATAGCGTAGGGGTTGGAGAATTTTCTCCAGAGTCGCAGAGTAAGGAATTGATCCTTATGTCGCGGGTTCGAATCCTACTGCAGAACGTAGAGACAGGTCCTTCGGATGAAGCCGTATTAATCGAGGTCCCGTGTCTACGTAGGTGCTGGCACAAAAAAGATCCCTCCCTGCTCAATGGGCTTAAGTGCAGAGTAAAGGTAGAGAGTACAATTTTGCACACTCACACACACACACAAACCCTCACCAGTGGCAAGTGCTGATGCTTCAAAATACGCCAGAAAAAATCTAAACTCCAAATGCAGCTTAAAAGGCAAATTGGTACATAATTACGAGAAAAGTAAGTCAGGTTTACTAAAGAAAACTGAACTCATCGCGTAAATCAGGGTGTTTATTTGCAGACATCATACTTAAACGTCAATTGAAACGATACAAATTTGGAGCAAACACGGATCTCTTAAAATATCAGTGGTTAGACAAGGTACCGTTGAGAAGAAAGGATCCCCTCGTTGACCAGCCATTTGCTTCTTGTCATAATCGGACAAACGTAGCAACCCATAGGCTAACAAATTGGAAACATGACCTTCACCATGATCAATATTGAAAATGGTTTTAAAACTACATATATAAGGGTTGAAAAGTCATCATGTTTACTGTATAAGAAGTCTGATTGTTACCATTAAACTTTTTTTTGGTAAAATATCCAAACATGAAATTGATTTGCCTGATTCTGTGGTGTCTTTTGTTTCAAGATTGGATTGAATTATCTAATCCAAGTAGGAAAGAAAATGAATAATGTTTGTATGAAACGTCGTCAATATATCAAAAGGAATGAAACATATAGAAATAACGAACAGTTTTCAAGATCAAAGGTCCATAAACAATACAGAATAGGAGCAGAGCAAACACGGACCTCCAAAATATCAGAGGTGGGATCAGGTGCCATAGAGGAGTGAACATCCCCTGCCAACCGGTCACACCCGCCGTGTGCTCCTTGTCATCAATTCGGGAAATAACTGAAAAATCCGTCATCAACTCAGTATAAATAATGGACTAACAATAAGTATGAAAAACGTCAGTCAGCACTTGACTCAGTGATAAATAATTGTATATGCTGACAAGGTCATTGTATCGACCATAGAACTTACGAAATTATGACTTTAAACGAGACAGTTGAAATTCTTGTTTCAGCCACTTCAATAACTTACCTCGTTTTAGAAATTGTTCATAGGTAAAGCATCCTCTTGTGTATCGAATCAACTGAGATATATACACTCCGTATGCAGGTGATGAAGGTATATTGCTGCATAAGTAAGGGGAGTTGACGATAGAAAAGTCATCACGTTTATCATATAGCTTGGTTTTTAGATTACCATTAACGTCTTTTTCAAGTAAAATATCCAAGTATAAAACATATGTGTCAGACTCTGTGGTGTCTTTTATCTCAAGCTCGCCAGGATATATCGTATCGACGTAGGAATGGAAATTACCATTGTTAATCGACAATACGTCGTCGATATATCTAAAAGTTGAGTTGAAGGCCACAGCAAGTGTTTTCTTCTTTCACGCATAAGATTTTGCACAAATTCTGCTTCATACGAATATAAAAATAGGTCCGCTAATAACGGAGCGCAATTGGTCTTCTAGATTTCGTCTTTTAATACAGATGCTTTTGAATTAATATCGCTTCAAATGAATACAAAAACATTTCTTATTTGCTAATTACGGGGTACAATGTCTAAAATAATAAAAACAAATTGTGGAAGATGTGACCTTAAAAACTACATAAATATTTTATCAGAAACTGCTGATGAGGCCATTGTATCGACCGTAAAATTTTCGAAGTATTGATTAAGACTATTGATAATCCTTGTATTATCAAAAAAATTCTCATTAGCTGTCATAATCTAATTTAATAAAAGTTCAGTTTTTTATTTGTAAATATTTAGGTTACATTTCGTTTATAATTATAAAATGATTGGACATTGATAGTATTTTTTACCAGTTTTGAAGGTAGCCGGTTTGTGTCCATGTTCAAACCACTCAGATTCATGAATACATAAATGTTCTCCCAAATCAACATCAAAAGAATGCATCTGTAAAAATCACAATTCGAAAAGAAAGAAAAGTGTTCTCCTAGAACAACACTGAATTAATAGATGTGTAAAATTAGATTAATAGATCAATAAAGTTCCTCCCAAATGAACATCGAATGAAAATATCTGTAATATTCAGAGGTAAAGGCAGATAAAAATTCCCCAAATCAACATAAATTTTGTTATAATTATGATGGACGTACGTTCCAAATTCACTTGTGAACATTAATTTGCAAAATAAAACAATACTACAAATATTGAACCTTTCCTCTTTTTCTTTGAGTGTTTCAAATATTTTTTAGAGTAATATGTAAGTTTATGTCTTTGAAACAGTTTTACAATTAAAGAGAACCAATAAAATAATTTGTACATTTTAGGTTACCTAGGTAACTGACCTTTGTATACCTCCCTTCCAACTCTCCCTTTGGATTGAATATGGCGGTTGTGTTTTTCATTTTCTCGCTTCCTTTTATTTCTTCTGGTACAGAACCTGCAACACTTAAGCACTGATAAATACATTAACGATTGGTTTTTTATAGATTTGATAAGTGTACATACCAAATTTTATATCTTTTGAATTGTGCAACGATAGCATGTTTGTTTGAAAATGACAATTTTTCTAACAGGCAGCTTGCAAAATGCTCCAATATAATTTTTTCCCCAAAAATTTGAAAACTTGAATCTGTCATGGGCTGTTTTTATATGTATGGTTGTAACTGAATGTAGCTTACAATACAGCTATGCATTAATTGTTAATATTTATAATGTAATTGTGAAATTATCTTCTCAAACATGCATGATTGTATGGGAATATTATAAAATTTACTTCTATGTAATATACATGTATGTATACATATAGTTCTTGCATCAATGGTATTTACCTGCAAAAATGTGACTGTTATGTTTCATTTACCTGTTATGTTCCTATATCTAAACTGTTCACCTGTTATGTACCTATACCTGTTGTGTTTACCTGTTATGCTCCTATACCTGTTGTGTTTACCTGCGATAATATGCATGTTGTGTTTCTTGGCCAGGTGGGACATCAGCTGACACGTCTCTCCGTCAGGTATGCTTTCTTTGTTCGCCATCATCACGGGAGGATGTAGTTCTACGGTGAACAGTTCCTACAGATCAAAGGACATTGGACAACATATATTAAATTTAGCACCATCCTGGCCAAATTATCAATGAAGAGTGGGTTTTTTTTTTATTACCGGCAAAATAGCAAGTTTTGTCTCATTTTTTGCGGCTTGTGTTATGTATTCCTCCGCCTTCTGGAGGATTTTTGACTTTGTGTCTCTTGCCAATAACTGAAGCAAGGCAATCCGCATACCTGGATAAAAATATGATGATGTTATAAAAAATAGTGAAAATTTATTTAATAACAGTAAATAAATTGTAACTATACGTGTATATCATATATTAACCATTCAACTTGCGACGTAAGGATCAACTTCTTACTCCACGAGTATAGAGCGAACACTCCATCCACAGCGCCACGCAGGCGACTCCTTTTGAATGCAAATTACTTTTAACCATGTTAACATGGATTTATTTGTTTGTTTGTTGTTTAACGTCCTTCTTGAGAATTTCACTCATATGAAGACGCCACTATTTGCCGATGGAGAATCGTAAAGTTTGTCCTTTACTAAGGGCCATTGAGCAGTGAGGGATCTTTTACGTGCCATCACCTTTTTTATGTTTAAGAATTCTATATCCTGTACTAAACAGAACTACATAACAGATAATGAATATTTCTGTGAGAGAAGTCGATCTAGAAAGACCCTGCATGTTTCACAGAATGGAAATCAATACGTGGACCTGTCGCCTTAAGCTAGTCTGTGTTGACAGAGAAATGTAATGTCCATGCAAAGAACAATCCTTGGGGTCGACAACTATATTCTTTTCATGTGATGCCTTCCTAATCTTGGTAATAGAAATAAGATGCCAATGTTCGAGTTAAGAAAAACAGAAAACAGTTAAGAAAAAATTAAATAATCAAAAAATAAAATCTTTTGATCTCGCTCTATGTTTATTGACATTTATTTTACAAATAAGTATTAAATAAAAAAATGAATCATTATTAAAGTACAAGTCATCAATAATGTAAGAGCGATAAAAATATAATTTTTACAATGTTTCTTCCAATTCAGTTTACTTTCAATGCATTTTTCTTTGATATTAACATTAGACAATTTTCCTTTTGAAATATAGCATTACGTAGATGAAATATGGCGATTACAAACAGTATTCAAGCTCAAAGTCCATTTCGACAATAGATCGAGTTCGAAAGCAGAGCAACCAAAAACATCACAAAACATCAGAGGTGTTCAGAGGCCATGAAGGAGTGAGCATCCCCTGCCGACCGGACACACCTGCCATGCGCTCCTCATCATGAACGGGAAAATCGGAACAATTCGTAGACAATTCATTGTGCAGGTGTGGGCTAACAATTAGTATTAAAACATCAGTCGGCATAATCATTTGATTTCATGATAGGTTGCATTTGCTGAAAAGGCCTTGGTATTGATTATAAAACTTGAGAAATGATGAATTAAAACGAGACTGTGGATATCCTTGTTTCAGCAACTTGTTTGTTAATAGCTTGCCTCGTTTTAGAAATTGTTCATACGGAGATCATGCTTTTGCATATCGAAACAATTAAGATATAATTTTCAAAATAGTTTACATTGTATCCAAATTCACAATCTGTAAATAATAAGACTGTTTGAATGAAAGTTCCTCCCACCAGACTTTAACTAACCCCTACTGAAAACTATATTCACCAATAATAAAAAGATTCTTATATTTATTTGATTTATGGACTGTTTTCACAAATGCTTTATTAAAACGCTTCATCAGCGTCGGATATGAGCAAAGGCACACACTTTAAAATACATGGCACGTCAGTCAACATATGATCCAATGAATAGCTACCCCCGGTAGGTTATACTTGGTATGAAGGCCATAATAACAACCATAGCCATTAGATTTTATGAAATGCTGACTTTAAATGAGGTTTAAAACAAAACTCCTTGTCATATCAACTTTTCTGTCAATAGCCTGTCTCGGTTAGAAATTGATCATACTTAGAGTATGCTCAGAGTGTACGTAGGTCAAGTCTTTCAGCTGATTCAATACGCAAGAGCATGCTTTATTTGTGAGCAAATTTTAAAATGAGGCAAGATTTTGACAGACAATTTGGTGAAACAAGAATAATTATAAATTCTCGTTTAACGGCGACATTTCTCACGGCCTACGGTAGACAAAATTGCTTTGTCAGAAATTGAAAGCCTCTTTTTCTGAAACATCAAAATCGGATACTAAGTCCAATATAGACTGAATTTTTTCCGTTTACTACATGTAATTGATTATTTACACACTGGACTGTCTAAGGATTTTTTTTTTTCGTTTGCCCGCTCATGCGAAGGAGTATGCAAACAGTGGGTATAACCTGTCAGCAGGGGATGCTTACTCCACCATGGCACCAGATCCCATATGTGGTGTATATAAAAGTCTGTTGTATCCACCTTCTGATTTGTATCGTTTTGATGGACTTTTTATGTTGATGGCTGTTATTTTCTTCATATTTCAATTATTGAACTTCATGATCCTTGAAATTATGTACATGTATTTCCATATATCCATAAAGTGTACTTAAAAGTGCAATAAACGTGATAAAACGATCCTTTGCTTTAATTTTCACAGGAAGATATTTCTGATTTTATACGTACAGTTTATACACATCACAGGACATCTCATTGTCGTGTAATCGATTTCTGAGTTTTGTGGAACCAATCAATAAAGAACAGAGTCAAATATCAGAGGATATGTCACCGTCTAAATCAGGGTTGTTTGGTGGTGATTTCTGAACGTCTCGAATGACATCGTACGAAATCTTTAACGATTTCTTATTCAAGGATAATTTGTTTCCGACAGATTCTTTAGGGAACATGGCTGATTCATTGAGAAAATACCGGTGTTGACTATACATGTATATTAGAAGTTTTTTTCTCCTTTAATTTTGAATTCAAGATCATTTGATTCGTAAAATTCACAAAAATACTGTAAAGAAAATTGAAATCGAGATCTTATTTTGAAATTTTTAAAGATATAATCCCCGCACCTCAGATCTCCACATTTTTTCCATATTCAAAATAAGGAGAAAATGCGGACGGGAGTATTTGGACTAATTTTCCGCATTCATTCCAGATTTTCGTAGATTCAAATTTCCAGATTTTCTCCGTATTCAAAATATGGAGAAAATGTGGATGGGAGTATTTGGACTCTTTTTCCGTATTCTCTCCATTTCCGCATTTCCATATATACAAAATATGGAGGTATTTACTTGGTTGATAAAATGCGGAAATACGGAAATCTGGAGAAAATACAGAGTTAATCACATGGTTATAAAATGGCTTAAAACCACTACATGATGCATACATACATAAATATTTACAAAACCATCAACAATGTGCAAAATTATATACAATTTATTATATCATTTTGAGAAAAAAACATATTAATGAATGAACAAAATTACACATTATGTTCATGAGCAATGTATTGGATCTTATATCTTTGACAAACAAATAGGAGCATGTATGGAAAAAAGCTGGAACTCTTATTTAAGCCACAAGTTCATCATGGAAAAAATGTGGCATTTTTTAATATTCATATTAAATAAATGGAAATCTATTCATTCTATTTATGCAAAAGTGGGAGTGAAATGTTCAACACTATTAGATATTGGGGAAAAAATAACAACTGACATAGGCTAAGCATTGAATATTTACAAAACAAGAAAAAAATTTAGACATTTTTTATCAATCTGGATCACATTTGCCATTTTCTACCTGCATCCCTGATTCATATTTCTCACAATTCAATTTATATCTCAGGTCTGTGCTTTACACCCATCTGTCCAATAAAATTTTCTTCAGACTTCTTTGTAATTTGTAAGGTCACTGCATGTTTAATTTCTTGCAGCAGCACTTGCGGTCGAATTGGCAAATCCTATCAGTTAAAAAAAAGTACTTAAATTATAATGGTGCAATATTAATAAAATTTAAATTCATTGCTTTTATTCCTTTTATAATCTTTTTAAATACACAAGTTTGGGTTCTTCAATTTTATATAAATTTGTTTAAAATAATATTTATATAATAATGACAATCATAGTTGACTGTTTTTAATTAAACAAGCAATAAAAAAAGAGAAAAAAAGAATATATATACCTCAAACATAACCATCCATGGACCAAGCTTTAAGCCTGTTAAAATCGCAGTAAGTTGAATAACCACTTTCAGAAATCTCCTCCTCATACATGCACAGACACTACCAAAATAAAAGTATGGTAAATCATTGCTAGAGACTACAGCCCATGGCTCCCCAAAATTAACACCTTTAATTGTGGTTAACCATAATAAAATTCTATGAGCTGATTGAAAGATTTGAATCATGGGCATTATATTGGCTGAAACATACGTAGCCTGGTAGCTCAGTCCTAGGCCTAGAGTATTTATTTTCATCATGTTCATCATCACAGTGACACACATGTTAAAAAAAATATGACTGACCTACCGCATATGAAATACGTGTATCTGCACCTTTTGGTTGATACAGCAATACGATCTCAGGCTGTCTGGTCAACAAACTTCCTCCTTTAGACAGAGCAGACGTTGCAACATGGAGGCCAAGGTTAAATTTTGGCGGTCTGTTGTTTAAATTAATTGATCACTGAGCCCGACTTTTTGAAACTTTCTTCCGATCCCGATCAAATTGTACATAACATTCAGGAGAAACAGAGAACTGCTGTTAACCCCAAGACAGTTTTTATGCACCCAAATTTTTTCGGGGCGCATATTGTTTTTGTCCTGTCTGTCTGTTTAGCTGTATGTCTGCCTGTTTGTCTGTCTGTTGCCAACTTTAACCTTCGCCATAACTTTTGAACCGTGAGAGATAGAGACTTCACATTTGGTATGGATACTCCACTACAAAAACGCTTTCAACAGACACCAAGGTCAATGACCTTGTGACCTTGATTGTGACCTTTATGCTAAAAATAGCTTTTTCGAACTTTCGCCATAACTTCTGAACCGTGAGAGATAGAGACTTCATATTTGGTATGCATACTCCACTAATTAGGCACTTTCAACTGACACCAAGGTCAATGACCTTGTGACCATGACTGTGACCTTTATGCTAAAAATAGCTTTTTCGAACTTTCGCCATAACTTCTGAACCGTGAGAGATAGAGACTTCATATTTGGTATGCTTACACCACTAATTAGGCACCTTCAACTGACACCACGGTCAATGACCTTGTGACCTTGACTGTGACCTATGTGCTAGATATAGCTTTTTTCGAATTTTCGCCATAACTTTTGAACCATAGATGATAGAGACTTAATATTTGGTATGCATACTACACTAATAAAGTGCTTTCAAATGACACCAAGAACAATGATTGTGTGACCTTGACTGAGACCCATTTGCTAAAAATTGCTTTTTAGAATTTTTGCCGCCGGGTGGTACTGTTTTCACAAACACATCTTGTTTTGATGAAAAAATTCTAAGTCCAGAGCTCATTTTTTCCAGATGAAAAATATTCTAAGTTAAGAGTTCAATATCTTTCCAGATGAAAAATAGACTAAGTCCAATTCTCCGAAATTTCCGTTTATTTTCCGGATTATTTCCGTATATTTTCTGCTTTTCCGTATTGTTAATTCTCTCCGAAATTTTTTCCATATTAAAATGAGGAAAAAATGCGGAATAATGCGGAAATCTGGAGATCTGAGGTGCGGGTCCTCAAGAGAAGAAAATAATGAACTACATGTATCTGTCAGCAAGTTCGCCTGCAACGGATTTCTTTAATTAATAGGCCTACAATTTGTAATTTGTTCGCAAAATGGAAAAGTCGTTTTGCTATCGATTTCCACATTTCGATCATGTTTCTGAGATAGAAATGCTGCGAATGCATCACAATATGCTAGATATTATTTGTAATAAGGGTGACCTAGATTATTATACATCATTCTGTTTATCATTTCTAGGCCTATAGGCACAAATGCTGAATATTTAAAAAGCTGTTGTAATATTGAACTGAACTAAAAGCCAAGAAGTGCACACATGATTATCAAGCAGAAAGTGGGAATTAAAATCGTAAGCATAACACATGTATATATACATATACACAGACATACATACCAGCCGTCCAAATGATACCTAGGAATTTTTTTTCTCATTAAACATGTTAAAATAAAGAACACTTACGGTTCGTCATTGTTTGCTCCTAGTTATAAAAGTCACTGCCACTGCAAGAGACACATATAAACTGTGAACTATCGAAGGAGGAAGTTTATCACGAAGAATTAGACGATCTATCGCATATACGTGTTTCATCGACCCTCTCTAATAACTACCACTTTAATAGTATGATAAAGTATAAAATTATGTGATTTAAAAAACTGATTTGATCAATGCTGTATAAAAGTGTATTTTATGATTTGATCCATTTACAAATGTAACATGTGCAGTGGAAGGGCTGCTCGAAATTGGAGCAAAATACTTGAGATGAATGATTCAATGAAGAGACAAATGAGAAAGTATATACAACCTGTACTTACTGAACTAAAGTTGTTTTACATGGGGCAGCCTCATATGTTCACAGAAGCATAACCTTGGCGTGACATGCCTCTTTGTGTATACAATACACACTGTTGAGAGCAGATGAGGTCAAATTCTAGATTAGGCCTGAGGTCCGACCACGGTAACGAGTTTAACCATGTAGGTACGGCGTGCAACTCAGGCACTCTTTAAATAAAATATTCGTATAGTCTTAATAGGTGGCATTTTTTTTTATTTAAATGTGTTCTATAGGTTGTGGAAATTAATGTAAATATTGAGTATGTGCTTGCATTTTTATTCATGCACATACTCAACATTTACATGAACTGCCCCTGAAGTGTTCAATTTATAGTTATTAGTGTACATAATAACTGCATGAAAATTGAGAGTCGATTACTTATTACCGATTTCGGACCACATCAACTCTGAAAAAACTTTATAAGAATAGATATAAAATATATGCATTTTCCCAGACCTTTTCAGTCACGTTTCATGCTAAGTATTTTCTGTTACCCTGATAAACACAGACTCCCGAAAATGCCGGAGATGGAATCAGATGCGTAGAAGGAGTAATTAAGCAACCCCTGTTGAGCGATCACGCCCATCCGAGCTAAACCTTATGTGTTAATCAGAGGTGGGGTATTCATGGTAATGTAATTAACTTTGAGAAAAGGCGTACGTAATTTACAATCACTTTTCAAATACACCAGTTTGATATTTATGAAAGAAAAATAGCTCTTTCGAATTGGGCTAATAATGGACCACAATTTGTGCCCATTCGAATCCCGACAGTTTGTTGGAAGACAATATATAAATGTCGTCAATGAGGAACTCCATCCTTTTAATATCACTTTCAGAGTACATTTGAGTAGAATCAGATTTATTTTTAACAAAGTAACTGTCTTGATGACCTATTACAGGATATGAAAAATTCGGTATTAATATTCACATTCAGTGTAATCCATTAGAAATCCACGACGTTCAAATCTCTATAACACACGCGCAACCTTGTCACCGCGCGTTAGAATACGCAGTAGGAACTTTATGCATTTTCAATACTTTAGGAACACAAGTACAACAAATGTGCGTTTAAATTTGTCACTTTTTTCGTTTGTTTGAGTTATTGAACTTTGCAACGTCACAAACGGCTCTTACGTCTATAAAGTACACCAAGATTTGATTGATTGTATATTGTATATTGTTTAACGTCCCTCTCGAGAATTTTTCACTCATATGGAGACGTCACCGTATGCCGGTGAAGGGCTTCAAGTTTTGACCTTTACTCGGCACTCAGGGCCATTGAGCAGTGAGGGATCTTTATCGTGCCAACGCCTGCCGCTGACACGGGGCCTCGGTTTTTAAGGTCTCATCCGAAGGACCCGCAACTTTCACTTCTGAGTGCCGAGCGCATGGCGAAGGAACAGTTGCTACCAATTTTAACGACTAGGTCAGTCGCGGCCGAAATTCGAACTCACGACCTCCCGATCATGGAGCGAGCGCTCTACCGACTGAGCTACCGTGAACGGTCACCAAGATTTGAAGGGCGCTAAATTCACATTAAAGATTACCGAAGAAACTTTGTCCATGATGTAAAAAAAAAAACCTAGTTTTTTATCATGAGGAATAGTTAATTGCATGATGTGTAGATTGATTGATTGATTGTATGTTGTTTAACGTCTCTCTCGATAATTTTTTCACTCATACGGAGACGCCACCATTTGCCGGTGGAGAGCTACAAATTTTGTCTTATACTCGGCACTCAAGGCCATTGAGCAGCAGGGATATTTTTCGTGCCAGCACCTACTGCGACACGGGACCTCGATTTATACGGTCTCATCCAAAGGACCGGTCTCCACGTCCCACAGTGGGATTCGAACCTGCGACGTATGGGTCGACTTCTTACTTCGCGATTCTAGGGCAGACGCTATAACCACTGCGCCACGCGGGCGACTTGCACGGAGTGTAGAAAATAATCGTACGTTTTAATGTTAGTGTCTTCAGAAAAAAAATTGCTTATTTTAATTTTTCTGAATGTTTTTCGGAGATTTTAAACAATTTGAATGGTGCTTGGTAGATCATTGCTGAACCCGTGTGTTTGCCTATTTAATATGTATAGATTTTTATATGTTTAGTATAAATAGTGTAATAAACTTAACTTGTTTTACGGGAATGTGTGAAGAGAATTACACTCTTAAATGTGATTCTGAAGAGTTGCATCCTTAGAAAGTTGGATAGGATATAGTAACACAATCGTATGTGTTTGTAGGTGTGAATTAATGCTGTACGAAACGGAATCGATGTATTTGCATTGGGATCAATGTCAAATGCTGTTTTGATTACATGTACATGTAATTGGATATTAAGCTTTTTGTGAGGTGATGCTTCTCTTTTTGTGGTACCCTGGTTTACGTTTATGAATGAGTAATGAATATTAGTGACATCTTACACATATACACTTTACATTGTATGACAAAACAAAGAGCAAGAGCCACGTTGGGCCTTATTTGGCCCTGAGAATTTCCGAAAAATCAAAACTGCACAGTTTAGGTTGCAAATGCAGCATTTATCACTTGGGAGTGTTGCAATCTCTCACCAGAGGGCGCGCTCCGCTTATTTATGGCTCCGCTTACACGGAGCGGAGGAGCGTAAACGCCCTCTGGTGAGAGATTGGGGAGTGTTGGTGACCACATATCTATTAACTGTGACGTAATTTTCCATCTACTCAATGCATTGTGACGTCAGAAAATGCATCATTTTCCTCATATCGTGTAAATTCCTTTGAAAATGGCCTAACGTTGAAGCATTTTTTCAATATTTCATATAGAGCACAACCTCTGATCCAAAATACTGAGTATGCAAATACATAATGAAAGCTCTGTTTCTGAAGATTAAAAAACGTTTTATTTTTTGGATCGTGGGCTGTGCTCATATTTTAATTCTTTGCTGAAGGTAGTCAAATACGTATGTTTTCAGCAAATTTCAAGAACATTGCAATTTCTCAAAACCTGTTTTCCAATATCTGAATTCTCAAGACGACATTTCATTACAGAAAATGAAAGCACCAAGTGTCTACTTTATTTTGACATATAAAATGGGAAAGAGGGTGATAGTTAATTATTTGATATTAGTACAGGGCCAATTTATGCATAAGATGGCTCTTGCTCTTTCACATTTTTTCCCTACAAGAATGATAAATATATTAATTAAATTTCCCCACTGGGGTATCTTGGTAAGAGCCTCCGTTTACCTCCCTTTGTTCCTTAAATATCTCCATGCCAAGTCAAAAGAATATTGTCCTGGACCTCAAGCATGCTCGAGTATGGTCATACATACTGCTACAAATAAGAACCTCCCTTTGCTACTTAAATATTTTAGTGCCATCAAATCTATCTCACCCTGAACCTCTCTCATGCTCGAGTATGGTCAAATAGTACCAATAATGATGTCACTCATGTATTTGTCTTTATAACCTCAGACTCTATATCCGACTTTGAGAAAACACAGAGATACAGAATTTTTTACATTCAAAATCTTATTTTATTTTATTTAGGGACTACAGTAAAAGCATATATATTACAAACTAAGCTAATTTTGCATTAACTAAGTTAATGAGATTCATGGTTTAAAAACTGAAATAGTTATAAATCTGAACACAGGGTTAGCCTCAATTTATTGAGATATAATAGTGTTTATAGCAAAATTAATTCTGCTCCAATAAAAAAGAATAATTATGCTTTAATTCAAAGACACCTATTAATGCCACAAAATATACAGATTAAATCATTATTGAAAGGATAAAAAAAAATACATGATACACTTATATTAAGGCGAAATTTCCCCTGTACCCCTTTGTAATTTGTCTTGCATAAAGATGCTGATACATGTATAAATTAAGATAAAAATGTGTTAACACAAATTAAATGCCATACAACATAACTGACTGAATTGTTCATTGGGTAAAAAAAAATAACAGTACATTAAAAAAAGTCACAAAATTAATAAAATAAAAATATACAACCATTGGTGAATAAAAAAAGGTTAACAATTATTGCATTGATTAAACAAAGGATTTAGTTTGTTGGCTGGTCTGGAAAAGATTAAATAATAAGAAACGGAACACACAGAAAAACATACATGTATCAAATCAGTCTCGGTCAAATTGCTACAAGACTACTCTTACATTCTCAAACGAAATAAAAGATGACTTGAAAGTTTGGGACTAGTGTACAATTTACTATTAAAACAAAATTTTTTGAGGACATTCAAATTTGCCGTAGTTATTTTGTTTCACAGGCATATGATTTAAAAATTTTTAATTAAAAAATAACAGGCTGGTGGAAGGCACTGTTACATCCGTATGAATAAATACATGTAGTTAATAAAGTGGTGCTATTGTATACATTTAGGTGTAAAATTTAATTCAAGGAAAACCTGGCCCATTTTATTAAAGTATAAAAAATATTTTCAAAATATATATATATATCTGGATGAGGACATTATTTTGAGCTGTATTTTGGTCAATATAATTTACAAAATTATAGCAAATATACTGAAATTAAATGTATAAATAAATATTGATAACAAATATACATGTACATGACTGTGGCAAATAAACACACGTTACATTCATCCCTTTTACTTCCAACAAAATGCAGAGAAAACTGTTTTTTTTATCTTCAAAAGAAATATTTGAAAAAACAAAAATTTAAATGCCCTTGGAATTAAAGCAAAGCATACTTTATTTAAGCTCATCAAAAAAGTTCAGGTCAAAAAATAATTTTTCACAACACATCATAAACTGCGTAGTGAAGGTTTGAACACTTCAGCTCCGAATCACAATTTTCCTTATCCCTGAGTGGTGATTTCTGCAGTTATCTCCACAGCTTTACTGACTCCATCTCCTTTCCCAGCTGTCTCGTTAATTTCCTTTTTATCTTCAGCTGTCTTGTTAATTTCCTTTTTATCTTCCCCTCCCTCCTCTGTTTTCTTGACCTCCTCCCCTTCCGTGTTCGGTTTGTCTGTGGAGACATCCTCCACCGTGATGGTCACTTGGACTGGTTCCTCTGTCTTTTCTTCTTTGACTGGTTCTCCACCCTCCTTTGGTTTGGCTGGTTCCCCCGTCTTTTCCTCGGATTTGTCGTCTTCATCTGCGTACTTGATGCCATCTGCCACCTCTGGTCCATCTGTGAAACAGGATTCATAAAATGTAAAATTCAGTACAAAACAAACATCAAATTCAACAGCTTGTACAAGTACAGGGAATGGTTTCTTCTTTGTGTGAATTGATCATTTGATAAACCAATAATAAAGTAGTTAGGATTATCTCCCTTTAATATAAGCAGGTCAATGAACCATAACTTTAAATAAACACATAAAATATTCACAGTAAGAGTTATCTCTCTTACCAAGGGGGTCAGTGAACCTTAACTTTCCTTTTTGTTTTTACAGATCTTTACAAACCTTTCTTCTCTCCTTCTTCCTTGGCTGTTTTATCTTCTGCAACAGCCTCCTCTTCTTTCTTCTCTTTCTTGGGGGTCTTGACCTTTTTGACTTTTACAGGTTTCTCCTCTGGTGGGGGTGGAGCGGGGGCATCCAATGGTTCGTACCCCTCCAGGTGGCAGTAACGGGCAGACAACTCATACACCTGTCCCTGGAGCTCTTCGTTCCGCGACTCCTCAGAAGATTCTGCCTCCTCAAAGTCTTTGAAGTATTTCCCTGAGACATCTGTGCAAAAACATAGGTAATCAAAGTTTACGAAGCTCACCTCGACAAATGTTATCAGTTTCGGACAGTTTTCCCCTTAGTCTGGACTTTCAGTAGGGCGTGGCATTCTAGCCGCTACGAAATGGCGAATACTCGTAGATTCTCATTGGTTAAGAAATTAATAACATCAGGAACTTTAAATTGTTGTTGACAACAATGAGACGACTTATACCCAGTCTGGACTTTCAGTAGGGCGTGGCATTCTAGCCGCTACGAAATTTGGCCAGGTACTCGTAGATTCTCATTGGTTAAGAAATTAATAACATCAGGAACTTTAAATTGTTGTTGACAACAATGAGACGACTTATACCCCACCTCTGTGTCATGAGAGAACTTTTAACTGGCTATTTAATACACCAGTTGACACTCGGCCGAATTTCTTTCCTATGTATATTTCAACAGTGAAGGAAAGCTGTGTAAATTTCAGAAGCTAATTAGGTAACATCGAGAATGCCACGCCTTCCTGAAAGTCCAAACGAAGAGTGAAATGGTCCTAAGTAATGTAAGTCTCACATCATATTTTTTTAATAGTTAGTGTTTATCCTGACAACAATATTCGTGCAAGTTCTGTTTAAATAGGTCTTAAAGTTCACTGGGGATTGACCTGTTCCATAAACTTTAACCTGGTCACTCATTTGGCATCTGAAGAAAGTCACAATTGTCCATCTTTAGATGCATCATCCATGCAAGTTTGGTCAAGGTAGGGCTTATACTTTCTTGGGAGTCACTCATCTGGAAAATGTAGGTCAGATCCAGCATCCAAAGCAAGTCTGGTAGTGCTCTTCCTTAGATGCATCACCCATGCAAGTTTGGTCCAAGATGGGCTTATAGTTACTTGAGAATGACCTGGTCACTCATCTGGAAAATGTAGGTCAGATCCAGCATCCAAAGCAAGTCTGATAGTGCCCATCCTTAGATGAATCATCCATGCAAGTTTGGTCCAGGTAGGGCTTATAGTTACTTGGGTTTAGACCTACCCTAAAAACTTTAACCTTGTCACTCATCTGGAAAATGTAGGTCAGATCCAGCATCCGAAGCAAGTCTGGTAGTACCCATTCCTAGATGCATCATCCATGCAAGTTTGGTCCAGGTAGGGCTTATAGTAACTTGGAAATGGACTTGCTCCTAAAACTTTAACCTGGGACGCAGACACCAGGAGTATAGCATAAGCTCATCTTGACTTCGTCGAGGTGAGCTAAAAACCTTGTCTCTCAATAATGATGCTTTATCTCTTTATTTTTTTTAAAATCAAATTCCATTTGGTTGAAACCTTCAAAGGATACAAAATTTAATGAGTAAAAAAAACAGCAAAATTCATATACATGGAACTTTTACTTCTGTATCTACTTGTAAGGGGGAACAACGCTATTTCTCATGAATAATCAAGACAAAAGGAAAGTTTTATACCATATTTTCAGTTTAAAGAATGAGGTGACTTGCGGCCCCCGATAAATTGACAAAAAATTAAATGTCTAAATTTTACTCAAATTTTTGTATGTTACTAATCACCGATATGTGTACCTTTATAGAATACTATTTTTAACAAAAATAGAACCGTTATTTCACTTATTTGAAAGAAATAGATCCCCACCCCACTCTTTGAAGCCCTTTAAATATACGAGCGCAGGTAGGTACAATTTTCTCCTTTGGCTGGTCACTGTATTTTATTGAAATCTACCTATATGTGAAAGGATAAAATTGTACCTAACTGCGCTCACATGCTATTTTTTAAAAAAATTGTAAAATCTAGCTGACCTTTCCCATGCTATTTTTTAAAAAATTGTAAAATCTAGCTGGCTTTTCCTAACCAATTATGAAACAGATGTGCTAATTTTGACTATATTGTCGATTTTTCTTTTATCATCAAAATTTACACTCGTCAAATTTCACATCATATATATATATAGCGTCGCAACAGACATTGAATCGTACATTATGCTAACGAAGTTACGAATATCTTTTGTAATTAGTTATGAAAACACAGTGATATATAATCACATTTTTAGAAACCATTGAATCTAAACTAGTGTATAAAATACTGCATGCGTAACTAACCACTTATAATGAAAACAATTTACAAGAGGGCAATTTATTTAATCAAATCTTATACACAATTAGATAGTTTGCACAATCTAACACACTGTAGATGGTCTTACAATAATTAAATTTTATAGTGACTCCGACGCTGCCTTTGTATCTCCGTGAATTCAAAGATTTTTAACTCTTGATTAAATAATTCGTCAAAATTAACACTCGTCAATTTTCGTAAACTAAAAATCGTCAATTTTTCAACTCGTCAATATAACCACGTTTACAGTAAATGAAATTCGTTATGAGTGAGTTCCACAAAAATACTATGGAATTTTACTGCTCTCCGATATTTTTTTTTATGCAAATGAGTCACAGATTAGACACAGATCTACATATGTACAATTTCCGAGATCACAGTAAAATTTATATACAGTTACAAACAATTGAAAAATATACATTAATTTAAAGTTTTGTAGCATGTTTGGTGAGCAATTCGCTAGGTCTACACATATTCCTAAGTATCAGTGAATACAAGTTTCATTTGCTTTCATTTTTTTTGCATTTCTTGTCCTGAAAACCGTAAATACTGAAAATCCATTCGTATTATAAGTATAAATAGCCTTAACTGACCATTATAAAAGTTTGAAATGTAGAAAATGATAACAGGTATATTGACCTAAATCACATGTCTGTGATAAAATGTAAACGTAGTAAACCAGCATGTTATGTTGTTCTGTCATCGGATTGGACAATGACTATGTGCGAAGTAATAACAATAGCCATATAAGGTCTTCTCGGACATGCATATCCCTCTATTGTACTAAGACCCGCCCATTCTCTTGCCATAAAATAATATATTCTTACAAACCTGGCCGAATTTAGCTGTCAAAGGGTCTAAAAAAACAAAGTTAGAGCAGTATTCCTTATAATTAAAATGTGTTTGAACTATTGAAACTATTCAAAAGGCGTCGTATTTATTCACTCATATGTTTGAAAACTACCAACATCGTTATGGATTAAATATAATTTGTCGTAGCAAAAGGGGCCCCAGTCCCCAGATAGCAGTTATGTCACATCATCCTTTCACGAATATATTCATTACAAATTAAAAAAAATTTTTTTTATACTAAGCTGAACAAAGAATGAAGAGTAACCTTTATATTTTTCATTAACACTGAGCTCCACAATCATTTTGCTGCCATGGTCTACTGTCCTGGAAATTTTAGCGACCTTGAAGACTGGTCCCATTAAATACTTCAACATGAACCTAGAAGCTGAAGAAGCATGTCTGGAAAGCTGGGTAGATGGAATGAAACCTAAAAATCAGAAAAAATAATTATTAATAAATCTTGAAGGTCATAGGTCAGTAACCTATCCTGCTATCCATCTCTACTGGCTTTGAAATATATGTCCATGTACTAAGGTCTTACATGAAGATGTGTTAACACTAAGGTTTTTTTTGGAGATGGGGGGAATTATGATATAGGCATTTTAGTAAACAAATCTTTAGCAATTGTTTTTGAAATTTGAAGTCCAAACAAAAAATATCTAACTATGCATTGACCAAATAAATATGTCTTCAACATTTTCTATACTTTCTCTTTTGACATATCTAAATGAAAGTACAACAAATTTTTATCTTTATTGCAATCATGATCAATTGATCACGGCAATTTCAGCAGTGAACTTTGTACTCTAAATATACTGTAAACCAACTTTTATTCGCGTGTGAGAATTTGTACTCTACAAATATACTTTTCTTTGTTTTGTCCCTTCTACATTGTACTGTTAACCACTTACTAATATTTCATATCATATTTTAACTTGAGAAATAAATTCAAAGAATCTCCAAAATAAGTACTCACCCAAAGTGTGCTAAATGAATCATTTTCCATAAAAAAATTGGATAATAAACAAGTTTCATTTTCAATTCATTCAAATTTTTGCAGACTTTTGATATGATTCTAGTCTTTCTATAATTTTAATCACTGAACAGGGGGCCCTTAAAATTTATTGTTAATAGGGATTATACGGTATTTTGTTTTGTGAAGAATAATTTGTAAGTCGCGAAAATTAATTGTTGTGGATTGATTTCAAACTGACGAATAAAAGTTGATGCGAAGAAAAGTTGGTTTACAGTACTGTTTGTCTCTGGACCTACCTGGACACATGCAGTTAACACTGACCCCCGACCCCTCCAGTTTCCGGGCCAGGGAGTAGGTACTCATCACCATGGCCAGTTTAGAGTTCTTGTAGGCCTGTTGTCCATTGTATGTTCCATCCTTTTCCAGGAAGAAATTTTCAAGGTCAAAGGGTTTGACACCTGAAAAAGTTAAAAACATCTATATTGTAGATGTGAAACAGTTCACTTGGTAATCAGTTCACCCTAGTAATTTTGGTTTGATACAAGTTAAAAAAGCTTTGGTTTACTTTTTTTTTTTTTTTCGAAGAACTGCACAGGATATATACAGATACTTTGCAGACAAACATAAATATATAACATACGCACCACCCCGGTTGCCTCGGTCGTTTGTATCGTGTAATGATGAAGCCACCATTACAATGCGACTGTCTCCACTTTCACTTCCTGTTTTCTTTAAATCATCCAAGAGAAGATGGGTTAGAAGAAATGGACCTGTAAAATCAATACATCTGTCATCATGTATGTAATTGAATTCTGTCATTTATAGTTCTTATTCAGTCTTTTATTAATGATACTGAGATGTAATACAGTGGACCTTCAGATATCTGGACGCTTCAGTATCCGGACGATTTTTCACTGGAACTGAATTTTTCAATGTTATTTTGTCTTGTTTAACTGGTAATTCAGTTATCCGGATGCTTCACATGTCCGGACAAATTGACTGGGAACCAAAGCGTCTGAATAAATGAGGCTCCAATGAATATGTCAAATTATCTTCAATTTAATTGCCAGTTTAGATTTAGTAAGCCATGACAAGTTAATATTCACATATAACAAGATGACACCAAAGGGGAAAAACATGAATTTTTGCTGTACACATCAACCTATAGAAAAATGTAGGGCTAGAAATTATATAGAATTAAGAGGTACAAGTTTTCATTGACTGCCATATTAAAAGTTGAACATAACCAGTATAACTGTTGCAAATCCAAGTTTTTTCCTGAAATTAGTGAAAAGAGTAGGTCCAAGGTACAAATCAGACTATGGCCCTTAGGTAGTATCTCTCTATGAGAAATATAGACTATAGTGCCTTACTAATTACCGGGTTAGGCGTTTGGGATGATCAGTTTTTCTACCCCACCTCCTTTCGGGTAAGTATATAGGTCAAATGATCAAAAATCCATTTCTTGTATTACCTAAATAGTTTGTTCCCATGGTCAGCTCAAAGTTATCCTTGGTAAATTCCCTAACTCTTTCGCTCCTGTTAAGAAATACCCCTGCATTGTTGACAAGGACATTTAGTTTTTTGCCCAAAGCATGGAAGTCTTCCACAAACTTTCTAACTGATGCCAGATCTGCCACATCTAACTGTAAAAAAAAATCGTAAGGAATCAAAAACTGAAGTTTAACGGATAATTTCTTGTCAGCAGTGATATCTGATATTTCATGCAGGATTTTTATGACTCAAAAATATAAAAAAAAAACAAAACTGATTGAACAGGTTGAAATGTATCTCAAAATTAACATGAACAAATTTGATAAAAGGTTTTCTTTTGTAATACAGTTTATAAAAGTACTGGCATATACCCGTACTTAAATTTGCAAACTTAATTATGAATATTTTGTATGAAAAGGATTAATGATATAAAACATCCCCTTACTTTGAGAGAATATCATTTTTGTGCTTTACCTGAAGAAATGTTGCCAGTGCATTAGGATTCTCTTGCAGAATTTTTTCTACCGCAGCTTTGCCTTTTTCCTCATTTCTACAGGCAAGAATTACATCATTACCGGCTTCACACAGCTTTTTGGCTGCTTCAAACCCAATCCCACTATTGGCTCCGGTCACAATTATCACCCGACCTGTCATTTTCTGTAATCATCAAATCCTTTTATTGAAGTTTGTCCATAAACAGATAAAAAAAAAAGCACATTCAACACTAAATATTGAAATGAAATGATCCATCAATTATTAGTATTATGTCTAAAGTATTTTTTAAAGCTATAGATAGTTTTCGATAGGCCAGAATTTAGCAAGAGTTATTTCCCGTTGGCCGCCATAATGGAGGTCCAAATGCTCATATTCCTTTGTTGTTCAACCAATTTTATATTTGCTATTTTGAATTAGGAATCATTATTTTTCTAAAGTATATTAAATAAATTTTGGAAGCCTCCTTAATTAAAAAAAATTATTTGTCAATGGTAAAGATTTTCCACCAAATATTTCTGCTACATCCTTTTAGACTTGGTTAGAGTTAGACAAAGGGGAAAAATCTCTGAGTCGACCGCCAATATGGCAGCCAACAGGAAGTACTGTAAAAGCACAAATATTCGTGGGGGATAAAATTTCGTTGATTTCATTGTTAACATTTATCAACGAAATTAAATCCCATACGAAATTTTATATGACTGTATAATGAATAGGCTTACTCTCAAAACAACGAAATTAAATGCCCACGAAACTATTTTTGATGACAAATCAATGAAATTTTATCCCCACGAAAATTTGTGCTTCTACAGTAACTCTTGCTAAAATCAGGCCTATCGAAAACTATCTATTGCCTCTAAGCAAACCCAACAATCTTAAATTTCTTAAGCTTGCTCTTGTTTGTAACCCTGATAATTGTTTGTCTGGAATGTGTAACAGTGGTTCCTCGGAGATCAAAATTTCCTTAAATTTGGAAAATAATATATCAGAAGACTCTGGGAGGTAAAAGTAATGGGAAATTCTGCAAAAAAATAGGTTGTATCCAGGAATGAGGTAGATAGAATGTTCCATCGCAGCATTCGAGCGATAACTAGAACTCAGTGCATAAGCCATTTACTACAAACAATCAAGAGAGTTCTGAATTAAACATGCCATGTAAATTTGAAGCCTGAATCAAGCAAGGGGTCAAAATGTTGTTGCACACCAAGTGTATTTATATATAGAGGGAACAGAATTTTCTATGTAGCTAATTTAGTGACTTATTGGTAAAAATTCAGGTGCCTGTGAAGACACCAGGGAGCAAGCCTTGTGACAGTGATCAGAGCTCCAGATAAGGTGCATATCTGCAGAAATAATTATATGCATTGAAAGTTTCAAAATACGCATTAAAAAACTAAAACTGAGCGTACATTCTAGTAATGGAGATGATGATTTCCATTTCGGGAGAAAGAATCAAAGATTTAGATTAAAATCGATTTTGCATAATTTTTAATTTACCGATCAACAGTTCTCTTAAATTCTCTAGAGTTCTCTGTTTAGTAAGATGCTTACATACTGTTTGTACATAACATTTTATTATGTGTCCATTACCCATTTCTCTCAACTAGCCATATGAATGAAGATTTTTTCTCTCATTTACTCTTGTTACGATATCATCTTAAACAAAGGAAAATATTAAGTGCCTGTGAAAACTTTACCTACTGTATTATCTTCCTTGTCAAAAATGAATGTTTCTCAGTTTTAACCAAAAGTTTTGTATTTTCAAAATTTAATTAGATAAAATAAAATGCAGACACTGTCCTTTGTAGTTTTATTTTCCCCTTCTAAAACACTTATATATTAACAAAATACACAGAAGCCATTCAACTGAAAATCAAAATCTGACTGCATTGATTTGAAATTCAGGGAATACACTTTGGGGTAAAATATTATCTGGAGCTCTGAGTGAACTGATGGCCCCATTTTTAATATATGGGTTATGAGAAAGCCTCTTCCTTATCATGCAGGATTAATAAACGCTGAATACATCCTGCAAAATGGTTTTCTTATTGACTTTCACATGATAAAGGTTTAAGCAGTTTATATAACTGCATTATGTGTAGGCTGAATCTGTTGCAAAAATTCTACCTACATGTAGGACGTTTATATGCATGCATTCAAAATTCTCTTAATCATATATTGCAATAAGATTTTAAAGACAAAATAAGTTCAATAAGCTTATAGAGTACCTCAAATATTGGTTGTTTCAAGGCGTTTCTCTTTGAATTTTTTTCTTGGCGGCTTTCCGGAAGTAAACAATGGTAAGTATTTTTCTACGCAGTATTTTTAACTTATATTTCAAGGGAATATTTTATTGTTTATAATAGAAAAAGTAAATTAATAACGTAAGTCATTTAAGGTAAAATGAATATATGATTGTATATCTGCCATTAAAAGCTTGTGTTTTACATTCATTTAGAGAACTTGATTTTCAGCGCATTATTACATTGGTTGTTCTTTGGCACTTCCGGTTTCATTTCACATTTGCAATTTTACTCCACAAATTATGCCACCCAAACGTAAACAAGTGGCCGTAAAGGGTGAAACGACAAAACGACAGAAAGTAAGCAGTAAAAAAGATGAAGCATCTGCAAAACGGAAACCAACTAAACAAAAGAAACCAGTTGTCACCTCTAAAAAATTAGACAAAGCATCTGCAAAACGGAAACAGACCAAACAAAAGACATCAGTTGTCACTTCTAAAAAATTAGACACGGGTACTACAGCAATCAAGTTGAAAATGCAAGCATGGTTTTAATTAATAAGTGAAGCTTAGATTAGCTACAAAACTAAATCAAGCTATATAGCTAAATCAAGAGATTGTGTCAGACCTGATAATGGACATTTATAAGAACTGTATTGGTATGTTAAGCTAAATTAGATTTAACATTACAGTTATAAGAATTGAAACAATATTGCCATTGTTTGTTTTTACTGTGTAACGGGAGAGGATTAAAATGCAGCAGACCAGATTGGGATTCAAGCCCGGGCCCCCTAAATTTCCAGTCAGGTGCTCCACTGACTAAGCTTAATCTGCCCACCGTTGATTAAACCTGGCTGACCACCACAACTTCATGTGCTAGTCAAGCAGGTTTTTCATGTAAACTGTTAAACAGAGAAACAAAAAACAAAATTTTACTCAATTAAACACAATTTTAAATAGATATGACCAAATGATTTTAATATATTCATGAATCCTATTCTGGCACATTTGATATAATTAGGGAGAATGTGAATGGTTAATTTGAAGATTTATCTGTAAATATGAAATGAACCAAACTCAACATGTTCAAAAGAATTAATTAAACAACCATGACTCAATGAAAGGTACATATGAACAGGAAATTTATTTTATTTTGTTTTTAGGTGCTGATTCTAGTTTTTCCCTGAGTGACCTTATCTCAAATGAAAAGTGGAAAATTGCATTATCAGAAGAACTGGAGAAAGATAATACGAAAGACATCCAAGCTAAGCTTTCAGATCATTATAAAAAGGGAGACAGCGTATTTCCGCCTAAAGATCTTATATTTAATGCTCTCAACATGACTCCTCTGGATCAGGTATAATAAATTTAATCAGAAGGCCAACTTTAAAATAATGTACAGCATGTGTGTTTGCCCTCTCACGACTAAGGGTGAAAAACTTTGGGTCAGTAGGTAGGTGATTTTTTTTTTTCACAGAAAATTTTCAAATCAATACTTGGTTTTCAAAATCTATTTTCCATAATACATAAAAAGATATTTGTTTCTTGGAGGTTAAAAAAAAAAGATTTGAGTCTGTTTATTTTTAGCCAGTCGGGAGAGGGCAAGCAAACAAATTTTTAAAGATGGCTGAATGCAACATCATTTGTAAACTCTCTATTGCTCAATAAAATGGCATTTGAAAATTTTAACAATTAAACACTCAGTGTATGAAAGTAAATTAATTCTAATCAATTTTTGATCATGTCTTCATTTCCTGAAGTTGTTTTACAAACAAACCAATGAAGCTATTACAATTTTAGCTGCAGTCTGGCTTTCTTACCTCACATTATATTAAACTGTCAAAATTTGACACATGCTTTACACATGTTATAACTGTATTATAAAACTGTAAATATTACATTGTACTGCATTTCAGATTAAAGTTGTGATTCTAGGACAGGATCCATACCATGATGATGGACAGGTGGGTACAGTCCTGAAATTAAACACTGATGAAAATATTTGTTTTAAATCAATCTTGTAACGTACACAAACTTTAGAACTGCTATTTAATCTAATATTTAAAATATTTTATTTTCAACACAGTGATTTCTTCAGTTATGGAAGTTTGTTAAAATCATTGAAAAATTGAATGCTATTTCTTCAAATGATTTTTTAAAAGAATTTTCCCAATATGTTACCAGGCAGTATTATAATATTTTACCAGGCAATGGGGCTCTCCTTCTCAGTACCAAAGGGGGTAAAAGTTCCGCCATCGCTAGTTAATATTTACAAAGAGTTGGAAAAGGATCCAGACATCAAAGGATTCAAAACCCCGGATCATGGATGCTTAGAAAGCTGGGCAAGGAATGGTGTCTTATTGTTAAATGCTACACTTACTGTAAGGTGAGTAAAGTTGGGATGAATATGCAACATTGAAAAATTCTGTTCTAGCTATGAAGATATGAACCGTCAACCATATATATATAGGGGGAGATGTCTTTTCCTCAACACCTGAAACTGCTTTTAATGAAAGACTATATATTTAACAACTCAGTCATGTCTATTTTGTTTGTCAAAGTGTAGTAAACTGTTATGCAAAATTGGATGTCAGTTTCCATTATAATGTTATATCAACAAAACTCTAAATTTATTTTAATTTATTGCAGTGCTCATCAGCCTAACTCTCATGCTAAATATGGCTGGCAGAAATTGACTGATGCCATCATCCAGCTGGTCAGTGAGGAGTGCTCGGGGGTCGTCTTCATTTTGTGGGGAGGATTCGCACACAAGAAAGAGAAACTGATCAACCAGAAGAAACACGCTGTGATCAAAACCGCCCATCCTTCACCCCTCTCCTTTGGAAAGTTCATCAATTGTCAGTGTTTCTCAAAGACTAACAAAGAATTAAAGAAATTCAAGAAAGATCCTGTTGACTGGAACCTTTAATAATTCTTAGAGAATTTAGAAAGACTCATTTTTCAATACTTTGTGATTGATGATAGAATATACAGTAAAACTTGGTTATAAAGAACTCACTTATAAGGTATCTTGGTTATAAGGAAATTTTTATGCACCCTGTGGAAGACTTATACTAATTTGTGTACAGTCAGATATAGGGAATCTCGGTTATATAAGGTTTGAAGAAAACATCGAGATCTGAGCAATTTCTTTATAATAACCAGATTTTACTGTACCTTGCATACATATCTACAATGTTAATGACTGTGATTTCTAAATTTTACATTGTTGTAGTCTTTTTATGAATTTTTAAAGTCACTATACTTTAATGAAGTATTTTAATTTTTATACAATTTCTTATAACCTGTAGATAATTTAGAGTAATTTCTATTTTTTTTTTTTTTTTTTTACATTTTTTATTTTACCATCATGTTAATTCTTTAGTGTACTACAAATAGTTTGTAATAAAAAATTGTCTCTTTTTTTCTCTCCTTTTTTTCGTGGATTAATATACTAAAATCTGAAGTATCATATGCCTGATGAAATGAGTCATTAGGCATAGGATTATTGCTATTGCACTAGAGATGATGCTTGGTTGATATTAGGGGATACTGTGATGGTTTAATGTGAATGTCTGCGAAAGAATCTTGCCGTACATCTCTTGTGATATTATTTAGCTATAGTTTATGTCATCACACTAACACTGAATGATTTTTAAATCGATCCTGAAAGGCCATTGGAAGAGCACTGGTAATATCACAAAAAAATATTGATAAAAGTTATATTTATTAAAACGTAAAATAAAAATAAAAAAATAACGAAAAGAAAATTATTTTTTCAAATTAATGTTCAACTTGGTATATTTTGTTTTATAATATTGGATATTTGCACTTGCGAAAAACTGCAGTTCATAAAATTAAAAAAAATCTGGATTTTAGAGGAAGGTTTAAATTCCTAGACCCTGTTCTCTCCCCTCTCCCTTGTTGCACTTCATGAAAGCAAGGGGGGGGGGGGGCTTTTCTGGCTTTACTTCTTAAGTAAAGACACATCATCAAAAAAATGCAAGATCCATGGACATGTTAAACAGAATTTTGGATACATGTATTACAATTTTAATAGTAATTTAAGAACTATACTTCATTTAAGTATAATGCATTTTTGTTATAGTGTACTTTGAAATTTATTTTTAACTTTTGTTTTGAGTCCATTTTTTCCGGATATGTCGTTGACCTTGTCCGATTTAGATTTTAGGATTGCATGCACTTCCGGAATGTCTTTCATTCTGATGATAATGGAATTCTGATAATGTTGGGATGGAGGAGACGAATTTTGACTGTCTTCCGGACGATTTAATTATCAGAATTTTTAAGAATGTCTCCACGGAAGACCTTTGTACGATCTACCACGTCAGCACGCGATTCAGGCGGCTAGCATACGACAGAAGCCTAGTGAGGTGAGGCCTTTCTTTGGTCTGTGTATACCCAGATTGTGGATAGTTTTTGTCAAATTATGTCAACAAAAGACGGCTAATATTTTTTGAAAAATATGACAAACCAATACATGTCAGTTGTTGGCTTCACAAACCTGGGCCATGTTCGCTTATTTTTTTCGTTTCACACTAGCCATATTCTTAACTCAAAGAGTTCAGATAAGGGTTGATTATATCATGTATATACTTTATATATTTATAAATTGATAAAATAAAAATGAAAAGGAAACAGTACATTAATTTGATCTCCCAAACTGTTAACTCAGTTGAAATATATTTAAAATTGTGAGGTTTTCTTTTTCAGGCATTCAGATTTTGAGCAGTGCTACCAGACTTCATCATCAGCATTTACAGAGTACATCAAATGTAACTGTTCCCTCATAGAGAGCTTAAGTCTGAACCACTGTTACTGGTTAACAGGGCGATGTGTGGAAACTGCCGTACTCAAGTGTAAAAACTTGAATAAGCTCTACCTATTGGATGTCAGTATATCGACAAAGCAGCTTTGTAGGATTTTGTCATCTATATCCAAGTTAGAGGCACTGGCATTCACAGTTGCCAGTGTGGATGAATTTGACAACAATCTGAATGTTTCAGAGCCGGCCCAAAGGACAATGTACAATATTAAGCATTTAACGATTCATTTCAAAGTGGGTATCACCCCTCGGACTGAACCGTCGATATCAGTGCAGTTTATACAAAAGAAGAACTCTTTTATAGAGCATTGTAGGGAGTTGACCTCCCTTCATGTGATGGGGCACCCAAATCTGGGATGTGGGTTGCCCAAACTCCTTCTTCAGCCTAACGTTGTCAAAGTTAGCAACCTCAAAAATCTAAAACATTTGTCTCTAAATTATGCCATTGACCCAGCTGCTAGAATATTCTACTATGGGACCTTGATGTCTGTAGCCAAGCTACATTTAAAATTGAAGACTGTTCTAAACCCTTCTGCAAATTTCAGTTCGGAAAGAAATACAGACTTCTGGAAAAATTTCTGGATTTCCCAAGATGACCTAGAGTATTTAGACTTGTCCAACATATCATTGAAGAATATATTTCCAACCATCTTTGATCCGGGTGTAGTGAAGAGCAGCCTTGTTTATCTAAATATCTCGCACACGGACAGTCGGGAAGTAGGAATGAACCTTGCTACACTTGGTCACGTTTGCCCAAATCTGCAGAGTCTGAATCTGAAGAATAGTCAGTTGGTGTACCTCCATTCTGCTGCAGCAGACCAGACAGAAAACACTCTACATGTAAGTCTCAGGCACTCACTGTTAGTCAAAATTTCTTGAAACCTACAGACACTTTGCAAATCTTAAAAAGAAATGTTTTTTTTTTCATTTCAACATGTTCAATAAGAGAATTTTTTAACATATTTCACAATTTTCTTAATTTCTTATGAATGAAATTTGTGAGAAATTTGTCAGTATTATAATAATCTTAAAAACATTTTTTTTCAGATCTTATAAGCATGAGCTAAATTTATCAATGTTAATGTTAAATCTAAATTGAGTCATCCATTTATGACTGTGGTCCTAGAGAAATACCTTAATTATATTATTTCATATATGGAAATGACAAATTAATGCTAAAATAATAAAATACTTTCATTTTTTACCTAAGCAGAATTTTGACATTGATGGCTGGACGAGTTTGGTCAGTATGTGTCATAAACTGGTTCATCTCAACATCAGCAACATCCACATCCACCAAATCAATGTCTCCAAAACATTTGTTACTGCCCTCACCTCACTTACAGGTATGTGTAACAACTGAAGCAGATTTATCATCCTCATGGTCTCCAAAATGTTTGTCAAAGTCTTTGCTGATAGGTATAACAAATCAGTGTCTCTCAGATCTTTGTGCCAAATCTTTGCATATTTGACCATAGGATAATAAAGTTATATGCAAATATACTCTGATAATTAGTACACATTTAGCTTAAGTTTATGTCAGTTTTTGGATTTTTTTTTATGTGATCTAGGTCTGAAATCTCTGGCAGTGTCTCCATGCTGCCTGCGTTTACAGGATTCAGACTCCAAGGACACAGAGAAAGGTCAAGGTCAGTCTGGGAAAAAGCATGCAGCGTCCACTGTCCTGGTCCAGTATGCCAAGAAGAGGAGGATAGCTCTCTCAGGGAACTCTAGTCAGGTTGGTGAAATTAATAGCTTATACACACAAACCATTACAACCTGCCAGATTTTATCTAAAACCCAACAAAGTGGAAAGTTTGCAGGTAATATCATGCACATGGACTGTCTCTAATCTGAGATCACTTTATAAGCTACACCGTGTAATTTTATATTCAGGAGGAGTGATAAATTTTGAAGTTACGTGTAAATTTAAGATTGAAAAAATATATGACCATAGGACAGCATAATACTGCTTTGTTAAAGAGAATATTTTTACAATTCTGAGTTAAATTTGAGCACTGTATTTTTTTCCGCTAGAAATTATAGCAGCAAGGACATTGTATTTTAGTGACTAATAATGTGCTAATTTTTTCTTCATAGGCCATACCCTCAACCTCTTCAAGTAGTGACCTTGACCCTTCTGAGACAGTTGAGATTCCCGCTCAGTGGAAGACAGGTCTACAGACACTGACTGAAGCCTGTCCTTCAATCTCACACCTAGAACTCCTGAGTGCGGGGCTGGTACGACCCATTATACACAGGGGCTCAATAGGACTGGCTCCAAAACCTTGTGTTTACATACCATGGTAAGAACTAAGAAGTTGTGGATGCAAATCCCTGTTTTTTAAGGTGGCATGTTTTCTGTATTGCAAATGAGTTTTGTGAAACATTTAATGGAGGTTATGCACAATATTGTGTTGTTCAGGTAGATTCAAGTCAGCTTGATACTAGTTACACGTATTTTTTTTTTTACTTTAGAACAGAATACCTTAATGAATACAGAGCTATGGTATATTGGTAGATTACCTAATCTATTGTTGTTTATTGTAGCGTGGAATCATACGCCTTGACAGATAAAGAGCTGTCATATTTAGGAAGGTTATCTAATCTATTGTTGTTATTGTAGCGTGGAATTGTATGCCTTGACGGATAAAGAATTATCCTATCTAGGAAGGTTACCTAATCTGTTGTTGTTTATTGTAGTGTGGAATCATATGCCTTGACAGATACAGAGCTGTCATATCTAGGAAGGTTATCTAATCTACAGTACCTCCAGCTGGCTGGACTACCAGGTATACTTATTATACAGTAGAGATCCGCTATTACGGTGACAGTTTTATACGATAGAACGCTTATTACGTTGTAAATTCAAAGCACAAATCCATTTCTTAACAAATCTATACAAAAAGAACTGTTTATTACATTGTCCAAAATCACCAGGTCTCAGTAATACGATGTAAAAATTCTGTCAAAAATTTTTTCACTCCGTGTTTATTCAGTGTTGATTGCTGGTAGACACTTAAGGAGACGCTTAAAATAAACATTGGAACACCTGTGCTCAGAGAGAGTGTTAACTAACAGGGCAGTGAGGTGATTAGTGACGCTTGATTGCACCCACCTGGACTGTTCCAGCGAGCCCAGCAGATTTGGAGACGTGCCAAAGCCATTGTTAAACAATTAAAGTTTACTCATAAACCTAGCTTCTTCTTTATCTATCGCTGTAATTTTTTTTTTAAATTCTTTTATTCTTTATTTCATACTTAGTTTAATATATTAATTTAATAAATAAAAGGTTATATTTAATCTTATGCATGTATGCTGTACACAGGTACACATAATGTGTAATTTCGTTTGCAAATAAACTGCGTAAATAAACAGCTTGGGTATCAAACATAATTTGGACAAATTTTGAACTCCAATACAAACGTTTTAACAGCTTGGGTAGTGGCTTGGACTACCTCTCAGTTGTCAGCAGAAAAACAAATCGATAATTGCTGAACTGCTAATTGACCTCTGTTCAGTAATTAAAAAAAATTATTTTGACAGATTGCTTGTCTATTTACTTTGACCTTTTTAT